GGAATTCCTCAGGACTGGGCTTAGCAGTGAAGACGGAAGCAAAGGCAGCATTCAGTAACTCTGCCTTCTCTGTATCCTATGTCACCAGGGCACCTGCCCCATTCAGCAGCGGGCCCCACGTTTTCCCTAGTCTTCCTTTTGCTCTGGATGTATTTGAAGAAGGCCTTCTTGTTGTCCTTGACATCCCTTGCCAGATTTCATTCCAACTGGGCCTTAGCCTTCCTTGTCGCATCTCTGCACGCTCTGACAACGTCCCTGTATTCCTCCCAAGTGGCCTGTCCCCTTTTCCACATTCTGTACACTTCCTTCTTCTGCTGGAGTTTGGCCAGGAGTTCCTTGCTCATCCATGCAGGTCTCCTGCCCGCTTTGCTCGACTTCTTCCTCAGAGGGATGCACCGATCTTGAGCCTGGAGGAGGTGATGCTTGAATGTTAACCAGCTTTCTTGGACCCCTCTTCCTTCTACGGCCCTACCCCACGAGATTCCCCTAAGTAGGTCCTTCAAGAGGCCAAAGTCAGCTCTCCTCAAGTCCAGCGTTGCAATCCTACTCATTGCCCTGCTCCCTCCTCGCAGGATCCTCAACTCCACCATCTCATGGTCACTGCAGCCAAGGCTGCCCCCAACCTTCACCGCTCCAACTAGACCTTCTTTGTTTGTTAGTTAAACGTCTAGCATTGCATTAGAGTGCCTAAGCTACAGCTTGTATAGCATACACAGCAGACAAAAAACTGTCAACAGAGGAAGAGGAGGCAGATGAGGAGCAAAAACTACAGACCACGGCTAGCATAAACTGGAAATCAAGATCTCCCATATAAGAATTGCTCAAGACATCCCACTAAAAACAGTCATGCCTCCCATACACTCTGCTGGGTATAGCTAATGCCTAACTGTGCAATTGGTGCTTACAGAAAATAGGGCACATGGCATCTTTGTGGCACCTCTTTAGCAGTGCCCTGTTCTCAATAGAATAAAGGCTCCTCAGAGAGCTGTCCTCTGTCTGCTATTGCTCCCCCATTCCCTGTGAAGTCTAGGCCAACAAGGCCATCCAGATGAGAAGGGGCTCAATTCACTCTTTAAAATGCATAAGTTAAGCATAAGAGAGATGCCTAGAGTTTGCATCCTAGATATGACTTGCACTTTGTGAGACACTCAGCCCCACACGTTTCTTTATTTCTTAGAGGCAGAGCAGGAACATGGCAGCACAAGCCATCTCTTCTAAAAATCTTAGTCTCATTTTAACCCAACCTTTCTCAAGAATCCTTCCTTCTATAGATGAACTGCATACAGCGGTTTGGTCACCAGTCCTTTGCTCCTCTTCCATCACGTCTGTCCTATTTGTATACATCTGTGTCCTGGAGCATTTAGTAGTGGCTGTGCCAGTGATGCAAACTGTGAAAACTGCCCTCATGTCATATCTCAAGACCAAGGCTCTCCAAGCCCAATGTTTCTCTGGTCATATTCTCCCACTGTAAAGAGAAAAGGAGTAACAATTACCTCCTGCTTTGAAGGCATTATCATCCTCCCAGGTGACAGCTGGGATGGCTACATGAGCACAGCTATCTAAAAGAGGACCAGAACAGGTGAAGGGACAAAGAAGCAGAGCTAGATTGCTAGAACTGCAATTAAGAGCATTTATGCTTTTTCTGTGACTCTGCTAAGGCTCTTCCTTTACTGTGCCTCCATTTCTTATCATGTCTCTTGGCCTTGGATATTCAGATGGCAAACTACTTTGCACTGCTGCAAATTCAAACCTGGGAGCTGAAAATCTCTGCATTGCCTCCTGACTCTCCCTGCCACAGACAAGGATGATGTCAGAACACCTCAGCTATTCCAAAAGAAAAGATAAAGCCTGAGACCATCTATGCAGCCCTTTGAAGCAAGCAGAATCCAGAGTAAGTACATAATGGGGACAAGGTGCTATCTTCCCATGGCAGCAGCTCTTTCACATGCAGTTGTTCTAAGACTGTTACCCTCTATCCTGCGGTAGCTTTGCTCGCGTAGCCGTGGTTATCATCGTAACACTGACTGGATAGCTGCAACTGCAATGACACCTTTGCTGTTGCGTACCCACTGTGCCCAAAACGCATGCAAGGCACAGAAGAGTGACAATTCACATTTGTGGGTAAAGGGAGAAACAATGGAACAGGGAACAGATCTTTAGAGTCAGAAGTTGCCATTTTAACAAGTTTACAGTTCTGACATCAACTGCATTAGGTCAGACAAACCATTGAGATCACAACATGTAGCAGCACTTCTCTCCACCCATGTCTACAGTAACAACATATTTGATGTTCATGTACTGTAAAAGCACTATTGGCTTTTGCGCACAGGAAGCAGACTTAACTTCCTCACCATTCTGTAACAGGCTAGTTTGCCTGTGTGTCATCATGCTTAGACATATCATTGCATAAAAGCTAGTGCTCATACTCTGGCTTCTTCCCACATGCCTTGGTTTTGCACTGACATCACTGGAATTTAGCAGAACAAGCCTGATGCATCACACTGCAGCAGGATGGTGTGCCTTGCCACCACCAAGCACCAGATGAGATGCATTTGTTTAATAAAATTTGGCTCATTTTTTGCTCTGGCTGGTTGTGACGAAAGGACGAGTGCCATAGGACAATCACAGTGCTTTCTGCAACCAGTTATTATCAGTTACTATTATTATTCCACGTCCTCTCTAACGTATTACTCTTACAACACTTCATGAGACTTCTTTATGAGTGAAGTGGTATTATCCCAGTCATACAAGCAGGAAACAGAGGAAGCAATAACATGATCAAGGTCACACATGCAGTTTGTCACAAAGCAGGGTTCTGAATCCAAGTCTGCTGAATCCCAGTACAGGACCCAACCGTTGGCAAGTCTCGACAAACACAACGTTAAAATTCCTCAAGGGAGCAAAGTGGAACAACAGCCTGCTTGCCTGTGATGGGGTAACGGCAGATGGAGAAGAAAGTGCAAGTCGCGCCTACTTTTGGTCATAGCTGGACTTGCTGCATTCAGGACTTGCTTGTGGGCAGGAAGCGCTGGAAATAGGCTCCTCCTCTTTGTCATCCCTACCCACTATACTCCCCAATGAAATCTGCAATCTTTCTTCATGCTGGAGAGAATAAAATAGTATGCAGATAGATCATATTGGTCAGTATCCTGCAAGACACTGCCTCCCACTGGCAGGCACATTTACAAGAGACTACTCTGTGGGGAGGGAAAATTTTGGAAAGGGTTCAGACCCCAACTCTGAACCCTGGGCATGTCAGCCCAAGTCCATCTGGCACAGCCAAAAGGTGACTGCAAGACAGGAGGCAGGTGGTTACAGGTCTGATTCTGCACCTACGGCACATTTTAGAGCATCCTTGAAGCTCTTGTGACTTACGCCACCTCTACCACTCTCAGTAGCTGAAGGCAGAGCATGCTTTGGCCATGATCCCAGGGCCACAGGATGGTAGCACGTAAACAGCCTCCCATGTTCACTGGAGATGTTCACTGGATGGACAACACTGAGAGGTGCAAGCAGCTGCCAGGCCAAAGAAATAGAAGGGCTGTGACATGACCCTTCCCAGTGAGAAATATCTGAACCTCAGACACCTACTGAAAGCCTATCAAAATATCTATGGAAGAGACAACAGCCTGGCAGCTTGATAGAGTCTCTCTTGGTATCTCATCATGTGCTTGGGCTGGAAGAGAGAAGTCTTCTCTCACTGGGTATTTGTCCCTCTAGATGCAACCTTGAGCAAAAAAAGTAGTTTAATAAAATAATTTTAACATATTTTTGAGAACATGCCCAGAAAATAAAATAGGATCCTGTAAGGAGGAAGCAGGGCAATAAGTAAGATTGCAACGCTGGACTTCAGGAGAGCCTCTTTGGCCTCTTCAGGGACCTACTTGGAGGAATCTCATGGGGTAGGGCCAGAGAAGGAAGGGGGCGGTCCAGGAGAGCTGGTTAATATTCAAGCATCACTTCCTCCAGGCTCAAGATGGGTGCATCCCTCTGAGGAAGAAGTCGAGCAAAGCGGGCAGGAGACCTGCAAGGAGGAGCAAGGAACTCCTGGCAAAACTCCAGCAGAACAGGAGAATAGGAGGGGTGCCTGAGGACTGGAAGAAAGCCAGTGTCTCTCCAGTCTTCCACAAGGGCAAGAAGGAGGAGCCAGGAAACCACAGGCCTGTCAGCCTCCCCTCCATCCCTGGAAAGGTGATGGAACAGCTCCTCCTGGAGGTCCTCACTAAGCATCTGGAGGACAAGAAGGTGATCAGGAGTAGGCAGCATGGACTCACCAAAGGGAAATCATGCTTGACCAACCTGAGAGCCTTCTATGATGGCATGACTGGCTGGGTAGAGGAGGGGAGAGCAGTGGCTGTGGTCTCCCTGGACTTCAGCAAGGCTTTTGACACTCTCTCCGATCCCGTCCTCGTAGGTAAGCTCAGGAAGTGTGGGTTGGCTGAGTGGACAGTGAGGTGGATTGAGAACTGGCTGGATGGCCGAGCTCAGAGGGTTGTGGTGAATGGGGCAGAGTCTAGTTGGAAGCCCGTAGCTAGCGGTGTGCCCCCAGGGGTCAGTCCTGGGTCCAGTCTTGTTCAATGTAGTCATCAATGACCTGGAGGAAGGCAGAGAGTGCACCCTCAGCAAGTTTGCTGATGATACTAAAC